CCCTTTATGCAATAAAAGCTGCATAATATATGGGCTTCCAGAAGGAGATAGAGGCGGAGCTAGGATTTAAAGTATATGGATTCTAAATTTTAAGATAAGAAGGTCGTGACCTAAAACTAGTTTTTATTTCTTAGTTAGTTGTTTTTTTTGTTTTTGTTTTTAAAAAAAAAATTAACAGAAAAAACACAAGTTTGGAACTTCAATAAAAAAAGTAACACATGCTTTAGGGGAAGCGAACCCGGGCATTTTTCCTGGAACCCAAAACCTTTGCCACTGAACCCAAACCCCTTTTGTTGCTGCGTTTGGCGCGCTTGATCTATATAACAAATAAAAACTTTCAACACAAATATAGGGTCCGGAAAAAGTTATTGGGTTCACTCGAACTCACACACTCTATTGTAGCTCCGCCCCTAATTTCGGGTTCGAGCATTATGAATCAAGGACCCTTTCAATAATAATTTTCAAGAAATGACAATTAGAAAGGCTTTCCACTTTTAGTATTGTAACATGAAAATAATTGCAATTATCACTAAAATTACTTTTAATGCATGAACATTTTACTTCAAAAGAAATGAAACAATTTTTTTTTTTTATTTTTTTTTTGTGTAAAAAGAGCTGGTAGATGGAAATTCCAATAAACACATAACCCTGAAACCGACACAAGAAAAGCACATTAAAAAACCAAAGTAACTATATATGTTGTAATCTGGCCTTCCCTCGTCAATAATTTATACACATAGGACATATATTAACATTTATTATATCTGATGATTGAAATTATTCAAAGGTAGGCGACAAGATTCCCGAATTTATGAGTAACAGTATAGTCTGATTTTAAAAACATCACCTAATTTTTGCATATCTATTGATTTATCCAAAATGAGTAAATGATTAAGAAATGACAAAAAAATGATTAAGAAATGATAAGCTAAAAAGCGTTGCTACATTATATATAATATACAGGAGACAACAAAAAGGGTCACTCAAAAGAAGAAAAATAGAAGGGTCCCCTAACAATCAAAGAAGGATTCCTTTGTCCACAAGCAAAATAACAATAAATCAATTAGACACCGTCATATATTGACAAACAACCGTCCAAAAGCATATCCCCAATTAATTTGATTTTTTTCCCAGCAACAAGAAGGATAAATCGGTGCATAAAATATCCCATACTATGCAGGATTCGAAAAAAGGCCGCACAGATGTTCAGTTGATTTTTGGGCCTTGACAAATGGCATAAACAGAGGATTTTGTACCGCGCGGTGCACCATCTATATATCCATGAGGAAGGTATACACCTCAAGGGGTGTGATATAAATAGCCTACCGTAATACCAGCATTAATAATTGCTTCCACGACTCGAACCAATGACCTATAGGTCCCCCAGCATTAGTAAATGTGGAAATTCAAAAACCCAGACATTTCAACCAAACGCCAGTATGTAAGCATGACAATCAGAGGCGGACATATGTTATACCGAGAGAGGTCATTGATACCCGTAAAGTTCGACAAAAATTCGATGTATGCATGTCTTTAGAATATAATGATATATTAGTAATGGGCACCATATATACAAAGAAAATTTCGACTGAATTCACAAGTGCACCCCGACCTTCAAATCTTGGGTCCGCCTCTGAATTGACAATATATATTATATTTTTTACACTGACTCAGAAGCTTAATCCAACTTCTAAGCTAGTCAAAATAGCAGCTACTTGAACAATTGAAGGTCTACTTTTTCTTGAATTTCCAACACAAGCTAAAGCAACTTTAGCCAATCTAACAATAGGTCTCATATCACTTGGTATAACAAGTCTTGGGTCCAAAAATTCACTAAACTTCATTTCTTTAATCAAAGGCAATGCCCATTTCACAAGCAAATTTTCTTGATTATCACTATTTCTTCTTCCACTCAACAACTCCAACAAAACCACACCTAATCCATACACATCACTTTCCTTTGAACCACCTTTTTTTTCAATCCAATATTCATCATCTACATATCCCATTAACCCTAATTTCCTTTCATAATTATTTCCCAAAAAAAAATACAAACCATAGTCACAAACCCTAGCACAAAACTTAACATCTATTAATATATTTGATGGTTTAATACAACCATGTATTATATTAGGTGCCATAATTTCATGCAAATATTCTATACCCTTAGCAACACCTGCAGCAATTCTTAACCTACAACTCCAATCCAAAAGAGCTACACCATCATAATTTTGATGTAAATAAAAATCCAAACTTAACATACCTTCAAATTCCATAACAACAATTCTTTCACCAGGAGCTTCCGAAAACCCTAAAATTGACACGATATTCGGATGATCAGCTAAAGAAAGCCATTTCATTATCGACGAAAAACCTAAGCCAGCATTGCTTAAAACTAAACTTGGATGTATTCTTTTCACTGCTACTTGTTCTCCGTTTGGTAATATGGCGGCGTAGACACTTCCTATTCGGCCTTGACCGATGATTCTACGATAGTTGAATCCATCTGTGGCTGTATGAATATCCATCAATGAATAAGAGGATGCACTTTGTTTTGTGGGAAGAGTTTCTTCAGCTTTGATTGGTTTTTTCTTGCAACATATGAAGAGGAGGATAACAAGAATTGTGATAATAATTGAGAGCATAACCAAAATAACATTATAAATAATTATGATTTCTCCACGGTTCATATTTATGATCTTTTTGTCTATAATTTTTGGTGTTGTGGTTTATAAGAGAGAGAGAGAGAGAGAGAGAGAGAGTGTTTAGAAGAAAAGTTTGGGTGTGGTCTATAAAGAATGAGGACTATATTTTGTTGTATATATGAAGTAGAAAGAGTGAGAAAAGAGGTGTATTATTTTAATTGGATCTTGATGTGTAGTGTGTACTCTTTGAAAACTAAGGTTGATGGAAATTGGGAAAGGAAAAGTTGGAAAAAGTCTTATAAGCATTAATTTGGTATAGTTACGTTAGTTCAGGGTTGGCTGCTAACTGTCATTTGACAAACATTGGGGGGTTCGGTAAAATTTCCCATTGCCAAAACAAGTCTATAAGCTTGTCATATAGAAATGATTTTTTTTTCTTTATACGTTTGGCATTCAAATAGAGATCTTTATACAAATAACCGGATAGATTCATTGTTTACTTTTTTAGCTGGTATACATAGATTATACACACACACACACACACACACACACACACATATATATATATAT